TGGCATCACAGGAGGCAGCCTGAGGGCCCCGCCCCGGGAACCCCTGGCCACACCTGCATCTGATGACACGAAGCCCCTTCTCAGGTGCAGCTGGACGGCCGAGTCCGTCTGATGACACTGGTGGTGCTGCCCACAGTTCACCCCGCGCTTCCCATCGCCCGTTTCCAAGAAGAGGGGAGGCGTGAGTGGGTGGAGCGCGTCCTGTGTCCGGCCTAACGCCGGGCGGAGAGCTCTGGCGGCTGCCCTGGGCCTTGGGAGGCGTCACAGCACCTCTGCCTCTGCCACTAGGTGCCAGTTGTACTTGCCCACGTTGTGACACCTCGAAATGTCCCCTGAGTAGCCAGGCCCGCCTCCTGGTTCCAAAGAGGCAGCTGCTCCCAGAGGGGTCGCCGCCCGCTTTCTGGTCAGCATCAGGCTGAGGTTTGGCCCCCACACGGCGGGGGGCAGGGGCACCCCGTCATCGTCCTCAGTTCCTGACCCTCCGCCTTCCCAGGCGTCAGCTCTGAGCGTCACACACTCACAGTCACTGCGAGACGACGCCTTTGCGTAGGAACACGCTGACGTCGGCAAAGGACTCCCATCCCTGCAGTGATGTTCTTGCTGAGAACATAGTGGGTGCAGAAGGGGCGCGGAGGCGGGCAGGACTGTTCTGGCCTGGGCGTGGCTGTCTTACAATTACATACTTGGCTCTCTATTTACCGTCCTGGCCATTGTAACCGACTAGTATAGACACACTTTTCTCGAAAGCCAAACCTCTTTTTCTTTTTTGATAAGTTGCCAGTTGGGTTCAGGTGTTGTTTTACTTTTCTTTTTACCCTTTGGCCCCTTCCCTTCACCCACGGCTACCCCAGCCCCGGCCACCACCCGCCTATTCGTGTCCTTGTTTTGTTTGTTTGTTGTTTTCAGTTCCACATGTAAGTGAGGTCAGACGGATTTGTCTTCCTCTGACTGATCTCACTTCGTATAATGCCCTCACGGTCCGTCCCTGTTGCAAATGGCAGGATTTCCTTCTGTGCTGTGGCTGAGTGACGGTCCGTTGTGTGTGTGTGTGTACATACAGGATGTATATGCACATCTTTATTCACTCACCCGTCGGTGGGCACCTGGCGTCTCACGTCCTGGCCGTCGGAACCGACGCTGCAGTGACGTGGGGCGTTACCTGTGTAATTCCTGGTGAGTGAGCGCCAGTGTAACCAGCGTGTTCTCAAGCCCAATCGACAGAACGGCTTGATGGCGCAGGGTTGCTTCTGGGCTGAGCGTTTGTTGGCCATGTCAGGCCTGCAGGGAAGAGGCCGGGGTGAGTGTGTGGGTGAGCGGGCAAGACAGAGAGTGTGTGGGGCCAGGCCTTCTCCCTGAGGGCGGAGGACAGCACTTTCCCGTGGTAACCATGAGGCCAAGGGTCAGAGACATCAAAGCCGACCCGCCTGACCTGCCAGGAGAGCAGCGTGGGGCCGGGACCCAGACCAGCTGGCAGCTGGCCCGCTGCCTGCACCTGAAGGTGAGCGCGCAGCCCCACGCCTGGGCCTCCGAGCAGCCAGCACCCCGCAGCCCCCTCACAGCCGACCCCTGTCTACAGGCACAGCTAATGCCCTCCTGGGAAGTGCTTCGCTGCAGAAATGGCAGGACTGACCTCCCCTGGAGGCGTGTGGAGGTCTGCGTTTCCTGTTAGAAGACCCAGTTTGCCAGTTCGTGCAGGAAAAACTGTTGTTAACAGAAATGTGTTCATAGCTAAGCTGGCGATTCCTTCACATCAGTAGTCGGTTAGAAAATACGTTTCTCTGCTCTCAGCCAACCTCTCCCCATGAACAGACATTTCAGCCTTGGAGTCACTTGTGAAAAATCCGCTTAAACTCTGCGATGGAACCTAAACTCATGAGGAAGCGCCAGCTCTGGTCTTCGCTGTGTAACAGAAGAGCGAGCTGGAGATGCACAGCCCGTGCCCCTGCCCTGCCCCAATGGAAAGGCAGCTGGGAATAGCTGGGCGCTAACTCAATCTTCCACATTAAACAAGAATTAAATGGAAATTGGTGATTTACTTGACAGATATTGGATCCTGAAAATTAAATAATTGTTCTAAAAACGTTAGCTCAACGCTGATTTGAAATGCCTGCTTTATAGCTAGTCACGAGTGACGTGTGTTTTTGTTCCAGTTGTGTTTTTGGTTTATGTTAGCACGACTTCATTACAAAGGAAAGGAAACAACGGCCTCTGCCACCTCCGAGGTCCTCTCACCCT